GGGCGGAGGAGATGGAATGAGGAGAGACGACAGGATATTGTTAGGGAGGGGTAAAAAAAACACACAAAAAAAAAAACAGCGGAGACCGGGGACACGTTTGTGGGCGGAGGGTCGAAGGAAGAGCAAAAAAATAAGGAAGACGGTGGGTGGGAAAGAGCGAAAAGGCAGCAGTGAGGGGGAGGATGAACTGGTGAAAAAGATGAAGCGGGGATAGGTGAGGGGGAAGACAGACAAAAGACTGATGGGATAGTATTGGTAAACGAGGGGATCTGTGATTCATCCGCCACAGCCAACCGCACGGATCTGTGCGCTCGGACTTCTCTCGGGCTTCTCCGACCCTTTAGAGACCCGCTAAAGGCGGCTTTTAGTCCCGAACCGGACGCTCGGTGTTCGTCCTCCTGCCCGGCTGCATCACAGACACGGAGGCCGGAGAAGGGGAGGACGTGTTGTTCCTGTTTCCGGATCCCTCCAGGGCTCTCCGACCCGTGGAGGCCAAACCGCTGCACATTCTAGCCATGCTCCGTATCGACCGCGTTAGACTACTCCGCAGCGTCCAGTCAGCCACTGAATATCGATGCACTTTGTTTACTGTACATTTCTCGGAGCCTCTGTTGTTTAAGAAGCGAAAGGCGGTTGGCGTTTATGGGATAAGTCTGGTGATAGTTTATATATTTGATACTGTCAACAAACTGCACAGCTAGACAAGATTTTCCGTAATTTGCGTTTTTTCCACAGCCACTTCTATTGCTATCGCTATCGATTAGAAATAGTAGTTTCACACTGGGCAAGACTTGTCACTTTGAGAGCAACAACACATTTTGAAGATGTTGATGTTGTTACAGGCCTTTTTTTCAAGGCGAGTCCTCTGGATGTTAGCCAAAACAGCACAGACTAGATTTAAATTGTGGGCCAGATGCTTTAAATTCTGAATAGTTTGTTTGAATAAAGGTGTTCAGATACAAAAATATAATTGAAATATGCATTCATTCACCAAATTCATATCTACTAGCTTGACTTCTACTCCCATCTTTCGACTTAAATGGGTGTAGATGTGTCATAAGAGTTGTTTGACTCACAGTTTAATAAGAACCCATAGTGATGCAGGTATAACAAACTATTTAAATCAAAATCAGTTTCTTAAACAAGGCCAAAGAACCCTGCGGAACTTTACAGATCTTTGACATTTGGCTCAGCTACTTCTTTAACGTGATCCCAAATTAACCTCCGGCTCGTTTTAGAAAAGTCAAATCGCTGGGGAATTGACGGGATCCGTAAGTTCAGAGCAAAGGAGCAAAGATGGAGAGGAAACGGTTTGATTAGAGGCCAAAACGGGCAACGGCTCCTCCAGAAGCAGCAGGATGGCTGCTGCAGAGCCAGTTAACTCCAGCAAAGAGCTGCAGAGCCGAATAGTTACTGAACCATTCTCTTCCTCACATCTCATTAGCAACTTCTTCCCAGTACATGACGGCGGCCATCCACACACACAACTTGTGACATATGGCCAAAGTGGTTTCTTGCTCCCACAGATGAATAAGAGAACGTTGTGAAAACTAAAAAGTAAAACTTTTAATTGTGCGGTAATTATTATGTAGACAGCTTCACACTATTGGGCTTTAAACGGTTTAAACAGTGTGTGCGGGCTCCCTTTAAGAGCCTGTTTTTGGAGGAAAAGTCTTAAATATACTCGGCAGTACTTGACTCTGTCCGGGTCGGTTTTGATGCCCTAAATTAATCAGAGGTTGGGTTTTTTGGGGTTTTTTTGAGCGGACAGCTGGATGTTTGTTGGGGAAAATGTACAAATGACAGAATTGTTTCTGGCACAGATGATGACTCAGTAGGAGGAGAATGTAAACTGTTTTTTTGTCCGTTTGGGTCAGTTCGTGCGTCTTATCTTTTCTTGGGTTTTTTGCTGACAGTTAGGAAAAAAAAGTCACACATCGCCAGACTCAAGTGTGAGTTTTAATTGAATGTACTAGATATCCCACTTCTATCTGCGATGCATTTGTACAACTGTACTTTGTTTCTGCCAGATGGCTGGACAAAATGTTTCTATGGGTATTTACACGATGTTATTATATATTTTGCACTGTACAGGAACAACTTTCTGTCTAGATTAATGGAGAGCAATGTGATGTAGCATAGCAATGGTCTCAAAGTGCTTTAAAACACACTGTTAAGTGTCTGTGCCAGATGTGAATATGTGACTTTTTTCAGCTGTTCTCCACTTTATCCAGAATAGCTGCTTTACTATCAGAGATCTGTTTTTGCGGACGTGTTTTATCCACATGTATTTCTCCTCTTGTGATCCACTTGCTGTTCTTTGGCAGAGTGATTAGTTATTAGTGGAATACGTGCGATCAAAGCTGTCAACCCTAAAGCGAATAAAAGTATTTATGGTTTCACAGAAATGTTTTTGTCTTGGGCCAGTGTCCTTCAGGACCATCATGCTTCACTCCGGGATTTGATTTGAAAGTTGTAAATTCGATTTTACAAGGGGAGGTAAAAGTCTTGGTCACTGGAAGACAAATGGAAAAGCTTGTACTCAGATGATTTGATGAGGGTTTAAAAGGCGGCCATTAGCATCTGGCTCATCTCCAAAAGCTGAGCAGATTTGGAAAAACACATTAAATGATCTGATATCAATAATATAGGATATAACATTACTATTATTTGTCATATAAAACTGATTTCAGGTCACTACCACCTCCAGACCTGCTTGCACCCCCCGAATGTCTGCATCTGTCTGCTTCATGGGCCTAATTATATTCCAGCAGGCATTAAAAATGGCTGTGATGTCACATGAGCCGCCTCCACTGCAGCAGCCTTCCTCCCAATTTTAATTACAGGGACTGGTCAAAGATCGTTTACATCAATTAGTTTATTCTAAATCGCTAATGACTTTGGCTTGATTTCACGCTTTGGACCGGATCGGCACTAATCATCTGCAGCACGCGGTGGCAGAATCGGAGATTTTTTGCGAGGCTGGCCCAATAATTTGGTGCCTCCACATTCAAGCAGTTCCTGCTAAAAGCGGCTCAGGATTGAAGTAAAGCCAGAGCCCTGCTATGTTAACACATCATAATTAACCCCAATCATCAGAGTGTGATAAAAAGAGAAACTAGCAATTAAAATAGCTCAAATGGAAAATTTGTGTTGTAGCAGCTCAAGTTTTCCAGGAGCGAAATCACTCTCTTGAAGATTTGTTACCAATATGTACTTAAGACTTAACTCCCGAGGCACTCAGTTGTAGTTCAGCATAAATGTGTGATTAAGGAGAACATAATTATGGCCTACCTGCAGAAATACCGCATGGCCCACAGGTGCGGCATCTACTGTGAATAGACCAAGAGCCTCCACTCTTCAGTTCACTGTGAACTAAATGGATTCCTGTTTTTTGAAAGTTCACTTTTACATTTGAAGAGTTGAACTCAAAACAACATTGACAAAGAAAAGGTTCAAATTTAAAACTGTACTGTTTCAAAACGACAATATATAGTGAGAGCCATTGAGCGGTTGAGCCGAATCAGCAAAGATATTATCCCCATGCTGGAACGTCTGCTCTGGCATGTTTCCAGTCAGAGCGGCTACATTTTATATCACTTTGTAGCAATGCACATTGCACAGTTTATATAAGCAACCTGATAGTTTGCGACGCCATGCCAAGAACGCCTTCCAGAACCAGGAATTTACCAATCATTTCTGAAGTGTGACTTCAGAAAAACTGCGGAAAGGAATTCGTTTATGGGATAATGAGTTCTGTCTGTCAAAGCAAAGGAAACTTTCAGCTTTATTTTCAAGTTTAAGAAGCTCAACGACTGAAAAGTAAACATTGGAATTAACTATATAACTAACTTCAGTAATCTGTAATCTGTTACCTTCGACTTTATTCATGACCCAGAGTGGATGCTGCTGTTTGTGTTTTTTTTTTCTCCTTGAGGTTTTAGTCCATGTTTTTCTTTTATTCTAGTTGATATGTCTCTTGATTTTCCGTCTTCTTGATCATTGTAGCTATGTGCTTTGGTTTCTGTCCAATGCTCTGGTTTGGTTGTTCCTGTTTTTTGTTTCGTCTCTGTTTTGGTTCAGTTCAGTTGGAAGTTCTGGTATTTTTTTTTGTTTTATTCAGCTTAGTTCATACTTTTTTTTCAGTCTTCAGTTTGGTTTCATTTCCCCCTGTTGTTGTTATCATCCTTACATGTCCACAGCTGTTTTAGTCTGTCCCTCGGCCTCTATTCACATGTTAATCTATCACCTTTTGTGGCTCCTCTCCTCAGTTCCTGTGGGCTATTTTTACCTCGTGGGTCCCCTCAGTTGTCTGGCTGCTCGTTGTGTCTCTCCTCCTGTGGTTTGATTGCCTTTACTGTACTTGCTTTGAATTTGACAGTAATCATAAAAATAGATGACAATCTAAAGCCTTCAATATTTCATGATGCAGGGATACAAAAACAATAGCACAGGATTAACAAAAAGGCCGTTGGCTTATAAGGAATTCTTGGAATGCCTTAAAAAAACAGCCTTCTTGTAAACTAGCATCCTTGGATTTCGTCATCTGTGCAGACTGAATGATGTAAATAAATTACTTTTAGGACTTTGCAGGACCCTCTCCAGCTGCGTGTTTGTGCATCCCAGTGGTTGAGCCCATTTCAAACACTTACTCCCCCCGACGCTGGTTCTCTTCAGCGTCGGTTTGCTAAGAGACATAAACACTCTTTGCCCGGACATGCCTGCTCTCCACGGAGGCTCATCACTCCCATTAGAGTTCATTTCCATTCAGTTTCTGGGTCACGCAGCATTTTGCATAATACATGACCATGTTAAGGGGTCTAATCAAGATTCCTGATTTAACCGAAGGATACAGTAGTTTTTTTTCAGTTTAACTCCACACCGACCTCCTCCTTAGCCCCCCTGCCTGATGAATAATCAGGCGTCCCATTATGTTAATTCAGATCAGCTCAGCCTGATGAGAAGACCTTATAATTAGCTGAATAAGTACGACATGTTCACTTAGAAAAGCCACAACAACACACTGGAGGATCCTCCGTGGGATTTTCCCCACACATTAGTGTGGGAGCTAAAGCTGCTGGGAGTCTCATCACTGTCTTGCTCATTTTGAGAATCATGGCTCCATTAACGGGAATTTTCCAGCCTGCTCAGTCGCCAGCTGTCAATCAAAGGAGATGCTTCAGCTCCTCAAATGCTCTTTAAGACAATTCTTTGGCTTAAATTCGGATTGTATGGCTCCAAGTCAGAAGAGAGCAACAGAAAATCATCCTCTCAGTCCAAGGTCTGCTACAAAAAATACCTCTTGAACTTTTATGGGACCTTGAGTTGAAGATGAATAACTAACTGCTGCCACCACAAGTCGATGTCTAAGAGAAAAATCCTCTCGAATTCAAGCCAAACATGCTCTCAACCTCCGATGTGTAAAATAAACAATCCATCCTATTTTCCATATCCACTTATTCCAAGTCGGGGTCACATTAATTATGTACAAAGTTAATAACACTGTGCATAAACGAGACACCAAACAACTACAGACTCTAGTTAGATGCTTCATTTTTGCTCGATATTTGTTTTGCTTTGAGTCTTGGCTTTGTTTTGGGTGTCTTTGTCTAACAATTGGCCTCTTGGGTCTGCATGCCTGGCTGTGAATGCTGACAAGCAGCCTTGTGTTTTCAGAAAAAGTACACGATGACACTTAAAATAAAGTTTCTTCAGAGAAAACTTAGTCGTGGTGCATGGTTCTAAACTCATGTCAGCCACTGTGATATGAGTTCAGATTTGAGCCCCTGGTGCGTAACGGAAAAGGCAAAGGAGCAGCATATTGTTCAAATCTGCAGCTCTGCTGTCACGCACGCGTCCCCGTTTCACCTCCAACACGCTCCCCTCTGTAACTCGATAGTTGACCGTAATGTTTCTAATAAACTCGCTTTCGGGGAAGCTGTCTGGGAATTTCTGTCCTCCTGAGGAGATTCGCCCCCTCAAAACGTTGAGACGCACGCTCCCGGCTGCGTGTGAAAGGCGCCACATCGGAGCGGAGTAAAAAAAGGACTCGGAAAATGCTGCTGGTCCTGCTGCAGATGTTGGTTCTGGCGTCCTGCGCGCCACCTCGATGCGACCCACGGATCAGGGGTAAGGTTTCTCATCGTAATGTGTTTACAAACTGCATGTTGGACGCGTCTTCCAGGACGTCCTGCAGCTTGGATAAGAAACGAGATGGATAAACACATAAACTTTGCTCCGGTCTTTATCCAGAGGCTCACATTTATGAGGTAAAACGTCTGGAAAATGCTTTTCTTGTCGCTGTGTAATATTTAGAAGTTACAGAGACAAGACGATTTTGGCCTGACTTCTATCAAATGCTACTAATAAGCTTGCAGTTAACAGGATGGTTTGGAAATGCATTGAAAAAGATTCACAATTATGGAAAGAATGCGACTTCCATTCCTGGAGTAGCTTTATGATATTGTGAGGACTGACAGGCAAATTTTAAGGAGCTGCTGAAGAATAACAGAAGTTGACCAAGAGGAGTCATTTGCAGGCCACATGGAGACGTTTCCAGAAACCACTCTGCCATCTAGTGTCTCCCACAGTGTGAGCTAATAACACACTCATGTGTCTTGCAGGACTGTGCAAACCAGTAGTGGAAGAAAAGCGTAAGTACACTCTACGTGGAGGGGGGGGGAATGGTGTCATGCATGGGCCGTTTGTCATCCAGCTTGCCTCATGTGTCCCATCACGTGTCTGGGCTGTTTAATTTTTTAATGGGGGCTTTTTTTTTTTTTTTTTTGGGCTGTTTGAGCTTGGGACAAGACACCAAAGCCCAAGGTGCATGTAGTTTTAATGGGATCCGGCTCAAAAGCCGTAAAAACTTGTACGTTTTATTTTTAGATGATTGATGACAGCATGAAATATTCAAATTTTAATTTCCAGAGATAATAGAAATATTTAGGACCAGGTGATTGAGGACAGCGGTGAAGCTTGTGATTAATAGCTGCGATATTGATCCTTAAAAACACCTCCCGGCTCATCGGGATTTAACAGTTTCTTTTGAAAATGTGCCCAATCTCTGTCTCTCTTGTCTTGCGTCTGACCTCAGCCAAGTGCACGGACGTGCTGCTGTCCTACTGCAACGACATGGCCTACACCCAGACCATGTTCCCCAACATCGTGGGCCACGGGAGCCGCGAGGAGGCGGAGGCCGGCGCCGAGTACCTCCTCATGAGCGTGGCGGAGTCCCTGTTCGGCGGCGAGTGCAACCCGGACCTCCGCATGCTGGGCTGCTCGGTGCTGACCCCCCGCTGCGAGGGGGACCGGGTGCTGAAGCCCTGCCGCAGCTCCTGCGAGGCCGTGCACAAACGGTGCGCCCACACCTTCGAGGGGATCCAGATGGCGTGGCCCTACTTCCTGGACTGCGATCGCTTCTTCGTCGGCGATGAGGAGGACTGCTACGACCCGCTGGAGGGCCTCAGGGGTGAGTACTGGGCCCGGCCTGGCTTCGTTTTTCTTCCCGCCTTTGGTCAGCTGGTTTTCCAGAAGGTCTCTACTCTCACTAAAACGTGCAAAGCATTTTTTTTATGTTCTCTGTGTCTCTCTCATCAGAACATCTTTTCATTTTTGAACATCTGGTTCGCACATACGTGGCACAGCTCAAACTATTCTCCTCCAGGAATAACTTCAGCCCGCAAATGAACTCACAGAGACATGTGGTCCTGCACTTTTGAAGATGTTTTCATAAAACATTTAAAAAAAAAAAAAACTATAACCACCAGGCTTTTTAAAAGTCTGTTGACACAGACAGGAAAACACAATATCAGCAAATTCCAGAAAGAACTGAAAGAGACAGTTGACAGAAGAGATAAAATGCTGCTCGGCTACCCGTCAGCCGGTCATGTGTGAACCAGATGAGTGCGTCTGCTCGCACACAGGGAGGTGTTTTCAGCGTTCACTTATTTTATAAGAGAATTCAACCAATAAAAATCAAGTGTATTGTTCTTCCACGTTGCTGCGAAGCAACCGTTTTTCTCTTTTATTGTCAGTTTTATTGCCGTCTACGCAAAGCAGACTCAGCTGTGTGGCAGCACAGAGAGCCCTGCAACTGCTCCCATGTTTATGCTCCTGTCAAACAGGTTTTCTTTCTCAGATTAAATTTTTTAGTTATACCCTCCCTACAATGGCACATTTATGAAACTTAGGGCTCTGAAAACCCTCTATTTACTGTAAATAGTAGAGGATTATCCAGGAAAAGGGAACGTTATATCTCTTGCTTTATTTAATGAAAATTTTGTCAGGTAGAAAGAAAAGTCAGTTTATTTGTAACATACTGTATAATGTTATAGAGAAAAAATATTTGCCGGAAGTAAAACAAATGGGTTTATTAAAGGAATATAAAGGAATGTAAAGTGATTATAATATCTAGCAACAGACAAACAATTGAGTTGAAGTGTAAATCATTTGGAAAAAGGTGAGAAATGTAGTTATAAGGTTTTGTATGGAGGTGCTGCTCCTTAGGTTGCTGACCTGATACTACATGTTTTTCCCAGTAAAAAGCTCATATGGTGCCCTAAAGAGCGGGGATCAGAGAAATCTTGCCCGCTTGTAAATGGGGTTCATGGTTCATGCTTGTTGCTCGCTCTATGGTGCAGGGAACACATTAGGAAACATAAACTTAGAGCTGTGCCCTGTCCTATGCTTGCAGTTCACAGTGGTCTCTCCCAGAGAAACAGACCGGCAGAACCTTTTTAGTAACCAGTGGAAAGCTTTTAAAACACATCGTTATTTTTTGTGCTTCACTCTCATCAACATGGTTTTGCTCTGCAGCAGAGGAAGAACTGGAGGGATTTCCGGCCACCGACGGGCCTCCCCCTGAAGAACCCGCCACATCCATACAGTTCACCTACCACACCAATGCCCAGATGATCGGCGCCTTGCAGAAAACGGCCGGCCACTGCTCGGACATAGCCAGAACGTACAGCATCGGCCACAGCGTGGAGGGCAGGGAGCTGCTGGTGATCGAGCTGTCCAACAGTCCTGGAGAACACGAACTGCGTGAGTGCGGCTGGCTCCGTCTCCGTTGAGCTTTTTTTTGCGCTTTATTTAGCCTGATGTCCAATTTGGCCCTCTGTAGTTGAGCCGGAGATCAAGCTGATCGGTAACATGCACGGGAACGAAGTGCTGGGCCGCCAGCTGCTGGTCTTCTTGGCTCAGTACCTGTGCTCGGAGTACCTGCAGGGCAACGAGCGCATCCAGACCCTCATCAACACCACCCGCATCCACATCCTGCCCTCCATGAACCCCGACGGGTACGAGGCCGCCGTCTCCGGAGTCAATGACAACAACTATGGCGATGATGAGGTGATTTCTCCATTCCTACATCCTGCCGATGTTCAGTTATTTGAGTCATGTTGATTCAGCATCAGGATAAGTTTGAATTGAACGATAAGCATAATAATAAAACTGTTCAGATATTGAACCCATAAGGATTAAAACAATGCTTTGAGCCCATTACATCACACTGGAGATGTAAATACAATTATTTCCATGTTTTTACGACATCAACTGGAGATCTCACAATTTAATTTCGCAATGTATTTGAATTAGCAACAGACATGAGCTGCTCACGTTTATCTTGTAGGACTTTTCTCAGTGAAAAGTCTTGATAAAATCCTGAAAAATGGAGAATAGGTTCTCTTTATCTTATCCTCTGTAAGCCAGGGTGTCCTGCAGATTTTCCTGACTTTCGCTGTAATCTCACATGTACTCCTCCCACTGTTCAGATTTTAGTTTTACAAGCCTCCGAGAACAGGATTTGCTGGAAATAGTCCCTGAAAGGACTCCATAATGAACCAATAAGAAGGGAATACATTTTTCCCTGTAGTTTTCCTAAACGCTTTTGCTTTAAATCCTCAGGGGGAGAGATACAGTACATGGAACATCGGCCGAAACAATGCAGAAAACATCGATCTGAACAGAAACTTCCCTGATTTGACGTCCATTGTTTACAAGAGACGCAGACAAAAGGGCTACCGCACGGACCACATCCCAATCCCAGACTATTTCTGGTTTGGTAAGGTACAGAATGAATCCTCCTGCTCTAATATTTAACATTGCCGCTTTGAAACAAATAAGCGACGTTGGTTGAAATGAGCCGTTTGAATTCCTGGATTTCAGGTTGCTCCTGAGACCTACGCCGTCATGAAGTGGATGCGCTCCATCCCGTTTGTACTGGCCGCTAACTTCCACGGTGGGGACCTGGTGGTGTCTTACCCCTACGATCTGTCCAAACACCCATTGGAACAAAACATGTTCTCCCCGACGCCAGACGACAAGGTAAACACGCCCAGGGTGGGGCTCTTTAGCACTGAGAAGAATGAACAACACACAGTGAAACAGATGGATTTTAGACACAATCACACAAGCTTTACAAAAAAAAAACTGTCAATGAATGTTGAAAAAATTGATAATACCCTATTAATACCAAAACGAGTAATCCCGAAGAACCAACAGTGGTCATTTGTTAACAATCCTTGTTATTTTTGGAGCTCTAGAAAACAGATCAATGAGCAAACATTGGGAATGAATCATTGGGAAATACAAAATAACAACAGACATGAGAAATGATGAGACCAATTTCTCATCTTTTGTAGGTTTTTAAACTTCTCGCGAAAACGTACGCGGACACCCATGAGACGATGACCAGGGAGTCCGAGCGCTGCGGGTCGTCTCGCGCCAAAAGCCAGAAAGGCACCGTCAACGGAGCAGAGTGGTCCAGCGTCGCCGGCGGTGAGTGTTGAGGGACTTCTGACTCTGAAGTGAAGCGTCAGGGGGGGCCACTAGATGGCGCCGTCAGACCGGCTGTGCAACCGTGAGCGGAGGAGTGATGGGATTTTCTTTTAGGACCTGTGGTTGTGTTCCTAAACAGGGATGCAGGATTTCAGTTATCTCCACACCAACTGCTTCGAGGTGACGGTGGAGCTGGGCTGTGATAAGTTCCCGCCCGAGGAGGAACTCTTCCTCAGCTGGCACGACAACAGGGAGGCTTTGATTGCGTTCATGGAGGCCGTAAGACACTTTTTCCTCCTTCATGTTGACCCCATACCCTTTTGATACGTACTGAATCTAAATCCACCTGTGTTAAACACCGCTTTCTATTGATAAGACACAAAGCTTTGTGGGTAACTTTTGTGGTGTCGTGCACCAGGCCCACCGAGGTATCAAAGGACTGGTAAAAGACGAGGAGGGAAACGGAATCAAGGGGGCGAGGATATCCATCAGAGGAATACGACACGACGTGACCTCAGGTGATTAGAAGCAGCTGCTCGGGGGATAAACCTGTCTCTCACAGAGACACGTAGATACAATACCGAATGACGTGGTCCCAAAACCATAAGAGCTCTAAGCACTCCAAAGATAAAGTCCAATTCAAGTAGAATCCAGTCCAAGTACAATTCCCAAGTTTTAGGATGTCAAATGAAAACACCCATCCACTGCATATTTCCCATCACAGAGCTCAGTATTTCAAGTTTTCTTTTACATAGCTGTAATAACCAACTTACTATTTATTAATAGAACCTTGGACACTTTTTCATAAATTTGACTGTGAGATATTTGTGTGCAAACTGAAAGCCTTTCTCTTCCGCTACAGCTGAAAACGGAGACTACTGGCGCCTCCTCACCCCTGGCATCCACATCGTCACCGCCTCTGCTCCCGGCTACGTCAGGGCCACCAAGAAAGTCCTCCTGCCCCCCCACATGCACACGGCGGGCCGCGTGGACTTTGTGCTGCAGAAGGCTCCTCCGGAGTCCGACAGTCTGAGCGGGGATAACGCTCTCCCGTCAGCCTACGGGCGGTTCGACCCCTACAACCAGTACGAGCGCTACATCCGGATGGCCGACGGGACGCAGAGCCGCGAGGAGAGAGCAGAGAAGCCCTGGTGGTGGAACTACTTTGTGTCGACGGGAGGCCCTGCCCCCACCTGGTTGCTCAAAAACCATTAAAGCCCCAAAAAATACGAGCGGCTCCTCAGAACCAATCCAGCTATCATGCGATGAATGTTGTGCCTTTTTTTTATGGCGTCAAACACGCTTTCACACTTACATGTAATCTGTTTTTGTCTCAAATCGGACTCTAATAATAATATAAGCACCTTACTTTTATAAGCTACTGCTTTGATAAAAACACTACTTGCATTGATAATCGTGAGTTAATAAAAGCTTGTTAAACACAGACATGTGTAACTTTATAGCAGTTATTGCAGAATGCTGTTGAGATTCACGCAGCTGGCCACTAGAGGGCAGGCTCCATCAACATCTGGCCCAAACTGCAGCCTTTGATCAGAATGTCTAGGAAAATGAATTGTTTTTGCCGTTTCCCCTCACATGTTTTAAGAGAAGAGGTGTTTAGATGTGAAGAAAAAAGCGGATTTCTATTATGTTGTGAATACTTTGTCTAGTGTTGAGCACGGTTGCCTTGGAGCAATGAAAAGTTTGGGGAAGAAACCTATGCAGGTTAAACAGACATATGCAAAAAAGCTACCCGCCAGTTACAGCCATTTATAAAAATATTTGATTTCTTCTTCTTTGTTTCGACATAACCTGCCTGAAACTGCTGCAATAATATGATTTAACCACCTAGAGATCTGAGCCTATAATAATAATGTTTATGTACATTATCTACTTGACCTTCTGGATGGTTGATGGAGGCCATCAGCTGTCACAGGCATGATTTAGTCCATTAACCTATGGAGCAAATGTGACCGGTCATGTGAAAACCCGTTCATAAAGAATAAACTGCAAGCTCCAGAAACCAAGATGAGGGGATCTTTAGAGCGTGGTTTTGAAAAGTTCGAGAGCGAAGTACCGTTCAAGCTCGAATACTTAAAGTAGCTTTAGAGAAGCCTCTGTGGCAAGAAAGGTTGAGTTAGCTCAGACTATTATTCTTTCCCATCATTCTTTGAGCTTTTTGGAAACTATTTTTCAGAGGAACCATATTTGCTTTGCGGTCGTGCGTGCAAACTGATGAAAACCAAAAGAAAAATATGAATGCTGTGAGTGGATTCTGAAGCCTCCACTCTGGCACAGAATGCACCGGGTTTAAGCCAAAGTGTTCCTCTGCGTGTGAGGAGGTGCTTTGACTGGGTGTTCCTCGTTAGACCTGCCTGTTTGCTCTTCTGGGACCAGGTCCTTGAGCCTCTCCTGTCAGGTGGGTTGCCAAGGAACCACTGACTTGGTGAGGCTGAGAAAGAAGCAAAGAGCTGCCATGTTGTGTTAGCATCACCCTGCTGGGAAGGAGGTAAGGAACGCCTCATTTCAGCTCTGAGAACGGCGCTATCGTCTCACATGATGTCTGATGTGCTTATGTCACTCGCTGAGGTCAGATTGTAGCTTTTCACAATCTGATTAAGCTTCTTTCACTTACTTATTTTAGCTTACCAGTGACTCGTGCAAGGCCTCCGATTTACTTTTTGGACACAGAAACCATCAGTTCAATTACCAACGAAGCAAAACTCATTGACAATTAAAAAAATAAGATAAGATAAAGTTACAAAATGGTCAAAAGGAAGAGGAAAAAGGGCAGGGTGACAGGAAAAGCAGAGTTTATGTGTGATTCCCTTCCAACCGTATGGAAAATCAGCAGCTCTGTAGCACTGAACTGTTTCTGTGGGGTTTTGTATGCTAAACTCTCAGAATCTTTGCATAGGAGCGTCACTTGGCCCCGTCTTAAACGCCTGCAATTGCAGAAATGCATTTCATTTTCAAATAATGGCTCACTGTCAAGTCCAATTCTGTCTGCTCGTTAAGCTGCAGCAATTACTGAATCGAACATGTGCAGACAACTTCTCCAGTGGGTGATAATAAGCCACCTTCTTTGTTACAGACCCTGAACAAACTCGCAGGGGAACACGTGAAGCAAAGATAATTCGACCAGCAGAGCGTAAGTGTATACAAAAACCCCACCAATCATTCCTGTAGAGAGCCCTCAGCCATGACAGAGGTGATTCCCTTTTAACAGAGGTCTCTCACCACAATACAAGATAACGGCAGAAGATAAAGCTGCTTGTTGGGGAAAGTCACTTCCTCCTGACAATAAGGATGTGTCAGGGTTGACCGGCTGCACGGGTTTATGAGCCTGTGATGTATGATGAGGTTGCGAGGGCTTCTTTGTGGTTTTTCTCTGCTGGTTTGTTTGGGTTTTTTGCAGCGTGGCAGTCAGAGGTCGCTGTCGAACAAGGCTTAACAGGCTTTACTCTGACCTGTAGCCTCAGATGAAGAATTTTGTTTGTTGACATCTTCCTCTTGTTTTCATTTGTTTTGGTGTATTTCTGCAACGCTCTGCTACTCTTCCACCGAGGGATTAAAGCGAGAATCTGAATGGGAATGGCATCTTTGGACTGATCCGGCTGGTAGTTTACAGCATCGGGCTAGCTCTCTATGCATGTTCATGTCTTTGCATCAACCCAGGTCTTCAGTGTACAAGCGGGGGGCATGATGTCAAGCCGTGAAACAATGTGGTTAACAATCTCTCACCACTTTTGAGTGACTGAAGCTCAAATCTTCTACCGTGTTGGTTTCAGTAATACAATTTCACTTGGCTCGATCGTTCACTTTGAGGAGTCCCATTTGCGTGTCTTTTCCAGCCATCCGTCTCATTGACGTGGTTTCTGCTAAACTAAAACAAAAATGTAGGCTTGCTGAGGTATCACAGGGATTGGATTGGATCAGAACGTGCATTCAGAACTGCATCGTCACCATTCCAGATCATGTGATTTGTACCGTGAGGTTAACATGAGACAAACACAGATTTCTCACAGGTTCTGAATTCATCCTGTCAAAAACACTGTAATTCTGTACTGTACGCTGCTGGCACGAGTAGACATTTTAGAAACGGCTTTTCCCTCAGAGTAAAAGCATGGTGTATTCCTCTTTTAGGACTTCTTTTATCGGACTGGCTAACATTTACTTAGTTTATTGGAGCTTTTAGTGTATCTCAGCGGTTGTTTTTTTAAAAAGCTGCTCTGTCTGTTCGTACAAATGATTTTATGTCATTAGGAATTTCATGAATTTGAGTTTCATTGAATTATGATTGATTTACAAGGACGTGGTCTCTAATTAGCTTTCACTGGGTTGGATCTGAAGTGATAGGAATAATTTGTTTCAAGTTGATGCTATATGAATACAATTTTAGAACCTAAACACAAATTCAATTAATTCAGATAAGTGGTTTTCTTACAATCGTTATGAAAAGTGATTAAGAATGGACTCCATGCTAGCTTTTCTAACAAAACAAGCAGTTACCAACAGTTTAGTCATTCACTCACCTGAGGAAAAAGATTAGAAAAGAGCAGCAAAAAGTTATTGTCCAAAAGAAATAAGCAGTAGAAGGCATTCGTAAATGTATGCTGTACTGTTTTTCATTTTTGAAACATCGTCCCAGTAAAAGCTGAATCTTCGAAATTCCCAGCTAGCTTTGAACGCAACAGATTTGCTTCACCTGTTCACGAAGTGAAATTCTAACCGGAAGTAAACGTTTTTATTCAGAAACGCAGATATCTCTGGATAAAACAGGTAGGCCTTTGCTTTTAGAGGATATCTGCTTATATTTTCATACTCTGTCGTGGTTGAAGGTTTGTCTACTTTTAGGAGCACACGAGCTTGTGGTATTGGCACCATTTTTGTTGAGTTGTCTGATGGAACTCTTCTGGACTTTTTTGGAATTTTGTCAAACATTAACATTGTCTAATAAGATGCAACATTTAGTGGGAACTCGCAAAGTTTCCCACCCAGTTTAGTTGTTCTGAGTGAACCTTGTGCCTGTTCAACTGTTGCCACAGATGATGTTGTTTTTGTCTGAGAGCCGGCTTATTGTGAACTATATGGTGCAATAAGCAATTTCTGAGACTGTAAAGGGTCCATCTGATATTTCACATATGTGCACTTAAATGAGCTGGAGAATTAAATGATGCAGCGGCATGTGCACTGCATTATTCACTTTATAAATAAAACAGTAAAGGACGCTGATTTCCACAGTATAGATGACCCTGCATGGAAGTGGGGCACAGCTGTGCTGTTTGCAGCGACTCTTCATGGAGTTTGACATAAATAAATAAATGGAGACAAAGCAGGAAATGTCTATCGGCATTCAAGTAGCTTCTACCTTCTTTTATTCATCTTTGAGGCCATTTATAGTTTATTAAAGACCTTTACTAGTATAGTGGCAACTTTAAATCCAGAACCCTGACTAAAGAGAGTCCTACGCTTCCCTTAAATCTGAGAAGATGCAGAAAATCTACTTTTTTAGATTCCCTTGCTGGATGAGGAAACATTTTTCTGTAACATTTGCCATCTTTGACAAAGAAAACAAAGTAAAAACTCTAAATGTATGGAACACATTCCCTCTCTGAAAACAAAAAATGGAGCTTAGCTAAATGTTGCCACTTGAATCAGTTCTCCTCTTGAAAAGGATTCTCCCGTGTGAGCTATTCTCAGCACAGCTCAGTCTAGACACAGCCAAATCCAAAAGCCAGAATAAAACATAAAGCACTACTGAAATAAGTGTTCTTGATCTTAATGCACATTATTGCTGTGTCCCAGGGATAAAACACTTAAAAGTCAGTCATGGAGAAGAGAAAGCCCGCGGGCTCTTTGGGCTGGGTACATGTCCGGGATGCGCCCAACTACTTTAGCTGTCATGCAGCAATATCTCAGAGCCTTTGCTGGGTGCACTGATGCTTGGCTTAAGCCATTTAGCAGCGCCCTGGTTAACTGAAACCGACAAAACTTCTGATTTCAGCCTGATCTTAGAATAACACCCCTGGCAATTGCAAAGCTGTCTTTCCCCATTTCATCTGGCGAGGTCCCACAACTGCATTTAAAGCTGACACAAATGCAGAGGAAGATGCGTCGTGATGTTACAACTGTTGCCCGGAGAATTAGATATAATGAAAATCATTAAAAGGAGAAATCGGATCTGAAGGAGAGTTGTAGACGCCTCGGTCTTACTGTTGCTCGACTAGAATACCAAATGATAGGGCGCAATAACATGAATAAAATCCGATGGCTTCTGCCCACTTGCAGCCAATGGGGGCTCCAAGGGGTAAAGTGTCGGATGATTTCGGTCTAATGTTTGCCAAGAGTTGCTCTTTGCCCAGAAACGTTCAGCACAATGGCAGTGGGTGATGGGATGATACTGGCTGGGTGGAAATGTTAACACTGGCCATGTTAGAAGTTAAATTTACTCATGACACTGTGCAAATTGTGGCACCTAATAGAGAACGGCTTTTTATGCAATGCTCAGTCTCCATACTGATAGATTCATACTCGTGAGACAAACTGTGGAAACAGAGTGGGAAAGTCATATATTCCTCCTTTTACACGACAGAATAGAGAAGACCGCTTCTACTGAGAATGATCCCTGTCGGCCAAAGTTTGATATATTTTTATCTGAATATGTTCAAACATACAAC